CCCCCTAGTCGCTGCTGCCGCTGGCCGCCCCAGCTGGCCTGTCGCCAGTAGCTGCGCGGGGCTCCCCCCTCTACCCACCCACCCCCCAGACCCTTCATAGCCCCCCTTCCAGAGTACCTCCTGATACTCCGGCATATCCGATAATCCAGCACCCCCTGGGTCCCAAAGGTGCCGGATTATCAGAAGTTTACTATACTTGGAAATCCTTTGTTCAGGTCAAAACATTTTTCATTTTGAGTGAAAAAGTACTCCCACCTAAAATGGCTTCCAGCATCAGGTGGCCTGATCATATGTCTTTGACGGCTCAATAATAGTCCAGACTCACAGGAGAAGCCAGAATATTCCCAGATCATTGTCCCAAATACTGGGTCATTGAGTTCCTTAAGTAACATTACTGATCTAGGGTATGTCTACACTACCACCCTAGTTCGAACTAGGAGGGTAATGTAGGCATACTGCACTTGCAAATGAAGCCCGGGATTTGAATTTCCCGGGCTTCATTTGCATAAGCCGGCCGGCGCCATTTTTAAATCCCATGAAGCACACTGGTGACTTAGCAGAATTATACATGGACTCTGAATTGATTTGGGTAGTGGAATAAACCTGGGAAGAGAGGGAGGGAAAAAAGGAACTTGAGGTTCTGAGGACTCTGCTTAAGAGTTCTCCATGTCATTGCTCCCCTTTACCAAAGATTTTACAAAGCGATGATACAGAGGTGACTGCACAACAAGAGTTGATAACACAGAGGTGGCTTTGAGCAGAAGCCACAGCAGATGGTAACAGAGCTGAATGAACTCTAGTGGAAGTAACACCAATGTGATGTTGCACCCCCGTATTCTTTGTGGAAATATGCTTTTAAATATGAATATAACTAACTCAAATATGCAAAATATTGCATGTAACCTATATTGGAAAGCTTGTAATCTACTGAATGCATCTAGCCTACTTGTGGGCCTGTATTATTTCTGTGTTTAAAGTCAGAAATATGAAGTGTACATGTGTTAAATGGCCCTCAGTTAGTAGGTCTAGGGGTATGTCTACACTACCCCGCTAGTTCGAACTAGCGGGGTAGTGTAGACATACCCCTAGACCTACTAACTGAGGGCCATTTAACACATGTACACTTCATATTTCTGACTTTAAACACAGAAATAATACAGGCCCACAAGTAGGCTAGATGCATTCAGTAGATTACAAGCTTTCCAATATAGGTTACATGCAATATTTTGCATATTTGAGTTAGTTATATTCATATTTAAAAGCATATTTCCACAAAGAATACGGGGGTGCAACATCACATTGGTGTTACTTCCACTAGAGTTCATTCAGCTCTGTTACCATCTGCTGTGGCTTCTGCTCAAAGCCACCTCTGTGTTATCAACTCTTGTTGTGCAGTCACCTCTGTATCATCGCTTTGTAAAATCTTTGGTAAAGGGGAGCAATGACATGGAGAACTCTTAAGCAGAGTCCTCAGAACCTCAAGTTCCTTTTTTCCCTCCCTCTCTTCCCAGGTTTATTCCACTACCCAAATCAATTCAGAGTCCATGTATAATTCTGCTAAGTCACCAGTGTGCTTCATGGGGAAATTCTGCATATAGGCTTATTATGCAAATACATTCTGTAGCTGTACTTCCCACTGCTGACCAACAGGCAGAGGTGGAGAATTCCTCCCCTTCTGGAGCTTTTATCTATCTAGACTTCTGTGTGGACAGCTTGCGAAGCTGACCTTGGCCATTCTTTCTTGGGTTTACCAACGGATGGTGGCAGGCAGGTCCTTCCCCTAGGGCATGTCTGCTTGCCCTTTCACCAGCAGATAGTACTAGTGAGCTCCCTATCCCCTCGATTTCGTAAGCCCTGTGGCTATTAAGGCAGTGTGCTTTTGAAAATCCCGCAGACTGTTTATTAAGTTGTTGGGGCAGTAGCGTATTATAACTCAGGCCCCTGACAAGAGACTTTTGACAGGGGAAGAAGGCCTTTCAAAGTTTGGAGCCATTTATGCCAGTTAGATCTTCTCTTCAAACCCCAGTGAGTATTTTCTATCTCCTCTTAAACAATGTTACCTGGGATTTCTTTCACATCCAGATGGAAAGCTTTTGTAATGGGAAGTGGTAATGAGGCTTAGTAAGAATTTTTTTCTCTTCCCCCCCAAGAAAAGGTGTCATCTGGCTCTTGCTTTTGGAGTTGGTTGCTCATGGAGGTTTCTAATTCAAGGTCTTAATTTTTGTAAAGCGTGAATTACAAGAAGTCAGAAGAATGATGCAAAGAGCATTTAATAATGCACATTCACAAAAGAAGTGGTGTAACTACATTAATTAGGCAAGTCTTGCGTAAAGATGCAATGTAATTATATATTTGAGACAGTTAATTAGGGAGCTACTTGGAAATTTCAGTGAATATTAAGGTAATTATACATAAATACTATAACCATTAAGACTGCACCCATAATGAAAGCAATAACTAATTACATAAATAACAGCATACTTATGTTTTTACATTACCAACACCTAACAATACTTCCTCTTTTTCCCCTCTCCTTTTGCCATGCAAATGACAAAACTTCCATTTTTAATTCAGATATTCTTGCAAATTGTCAGGGAAACAATGAACTTTCCTCTTGATTTCTTTCTCTAGAGAAACCAATGACAACTGCTGTGATCCACACCTAGCTGGGTGAAAGCCAAGTGTACTATGGATACTTGTCTGATGAACAATGACTTAAAGCCCTCTCCTGCAAAAGTGCCAAGCACCTTTGTGTCCCACTGAAGTCAAGATCTCAAAATCTTTATAAGGAAATAGTGTACCAAGACTGGTTTGAAATGCCACTGGGACTTTGAGTGCAACATTGTAGCTGATGGATTTAGGTTACAGATGAATTGGTTCCAGTATAATTGAGGGGACTCAGCACTTTACAGGATCAGGCCAATATGTAAATTTCTGGTTCATAGTTAAATTTTCAGGATTTTGTGGTCTGTTTGCTTCTTACATTCACAACAACTGCATGATGCTTCCCTGAAGCTGGAAGATGCTAAAGGCAACTGAGTGCCGAGGTTTGAATACTAAGCTTATAGAATAACCAAATCCTAATTCTCTGCTCCTGCAGCTTCAACCAGATAAAAACTCAGGCCCTCTAAAATCAAAAGCAGAGTTTTGCTAATGAGTCAATACAAGGAGCAGGTCTGCGCTAGTTTAGTCAGAAAAGTCATATCTGATAACTGGTATATTGAATTATTATGATATATTATTATGTTAATAATAATATTTTTCAGCTTCAGCTTCAAAGATCTCAAAACTCTTTCCATACACTAATGAATTAAGTTTAATAACGATAGTTCCAGTATGGAGCCCTGAGGGAGACCTGTTATTCAGTGTTCTGGGTCTATTAATGCTATTATTGAGGTGCACGCGAAACCGGCGGTCGCCAAGCATTGCTGACAATAGCCGAAGTGTTGGCCAGCACTAAACCAACCTTGATAGTTTGCATAGTAGTCCCTTGCGCTACACTGTGTCATATACAGCTGACAGATCGACAAGAGCTATGCCAGTCTTCATTTTTGCCTGGTAGCCAACTTCAGTTGTGGTTGTGAGGGCCAACACCTGGTCGCACGTACTTCTGCCTAGCCTAAAACTACCCCGATACTTTAATAGCCCAGCCTCTATGGTGGCAGACAAACGAGCCAACAGTGCTTGCTCCATGACTTTGCTGGTAATGGAAAGGAGTGCTATTGGTCTGTAGCCTTGAGGCGCTATCTGGTAGTTTTCCATTCTTAAGAATTGCAATCACCTTTGCTTGCTTCCATTCTGTAGGGAGGCTGCTTGTTTGGTGGATAGATGTGAAGAGTGCAGCCAGCCAGTTCCTCCCCTTCATTCCTAAGTTCTTCAGAAACTTGGGGAATATTCCATCCGCGCCAGCGGCTTTCTTGTTCTTTGTAGCTGCTAATGCTATTTTAATTTTTTTCTTCTGTGTATGGAGCAGAGAAAACACTGGATTCTGGACATCACTGGAAGCTCTAGGTGTATTCCCTTTTGATCTCTCGCCTGCTGTCTTTGTCCGGTGACATCTTTGACGTTCTGAAGAGATGGGAAGCAACTTGGTTGGCAGTTACCACTGGTGATCATAGCTTTGGTGGCACAGCTGCTCCCAGATGACGAAGCAGGGCCCATGCTTTCCTGCTGGAATGTGTGCAGTTCAGCCCCTCCACTGTTTCCTTCCATCTCTCCAGGTGCTCTTCATCCATCTGTTTTAAGAGCGCTGTGGCTTGCTCAACAACACCGGTCCTTTTGTATTGCTTTAGTAGTTCTTCTGTAGTGGACAACCAACAAGGTATATACTCTTTGTGAAAACCATGCAAAATATCATTATTTAACATCTATCTTAGTGACCTCCCAAATACTGTCTCTGCAATGTTTATCTATGCAGATGATATCGCCCTGGCTGAACAATCACAATCTTTCAAAACTGTCAACCAGATGCTAACATCCGACCTATTGACCATATCCAACTACCTGCAGAAGTGGCGGCTCAAACCAAATCCAGACAAAACTATGGTCACAGCTTTTCATCTAGACAACCGTAACGACACTGCAAAACTTGATGTTGCTTTCTGTGTGAAAAAGATTGCTTACAAACCTCATCCCAAATACCTAGGCGTAACACTTGACCGTACGCTCTCCTTCTGATGCCATCTAGAACAAACAAAGGAGAAACTAAAGCCAAGGATCAACCTTCTAAGAAAACTTGCTGCAACCAGTTGGGGAGCTGGAGCACGCACCTTGAGGACCTCAGCAATAGCCCTGGTGTATTCTGTTGCTGAATATTGCTCTCCTGTGTGGTCAGAAAGCGCCCACATAAAGCTAGTTGACACTCAACTGAATAGCGCCATGAGAGTGATAATGGGAACTTTAAAGCCCACTACCATAGAATGGTTACCGCCGCTGGCAAACATTGCCCTACCAAGCATTCGTCGGCAGGATCAGGAATACAGACTATACCAGGGATCTCCAACCTTTTTAACCACAGGATCACTTTTTCAATTTAAGTTCAATATAAGATCTACCTCAAACCCAAATATGCTTGCCTGGCTTCCTTCCCCCCTTCTCTGGGGCCCTGCCCCTCCTCCACCCCTTCTCCGAAGCTTCACCCTGCTCGCTCTGTTGGCCTTCCTCCCTGAATCTCATTCACTTTCACCAGGCTGGGGTAGGGGTGCAAGTTCTAGTCTTGAGCGAATGGCAAATGCCCTATCCTTTAGGCCTGTGTTTCTTAACCTTTTTTTTTTTTGTAAAGTACACCTTCTCCTCCCCAAAAAAGTACGCCCCAGTACCAACAGTTTTCACATACATACATTTTTTTTTATTGTTGCAACACATTTGTTAAAACAACTTAATTGTAAGTGGTGATGAAATATTTGGGTGTAAAAAGTACAAAAATAATAAAGTGCTGTGAAATGTAAAACAAGTTCAGTTTTCTCCAACTTTCAGTTGTGTTGATGTACTCAGACTTCTCTTGAGTGCCCCTAAGGGTACTTGTACCACTGGTTGAGAAGCACTGCTCTGGGCCATTCCAGGGTTCACCCCCCACCTTCAGGGGGTCCCTGATCATGCCTTCCTAGTGCAAGAGCCTGGGGCAGCCTAGCTGCTCCCAGGGCAGCCAAGACTTGAACCCAGGGCCCTGCTCTCTCCAGGTGAGTGCCCTATGCCACTCTAGAGTTAAGCTGAGCCTACCTCCTCTCTGGTGGGTTCTGTGTTGGCTGTCTGGTTGCAGGTGTGCAGGGCTTGGGCTGCTGGGCAGAGATCACAACCCTGTCCTCTTCAGGCAGATGCTGTATCTACTAGCCCACTCGGGTGCCCACTCTCCCTTTGGGGGCTCCATTTTCCTGTGTCTAGTTGTTCTTGGGGTGGGTTGGAGCTGCCTGGGGGTGGAGGGATGGTCTTGAACCTGCCATCATATGGTTCCCCAGGCAAATGCCCTATCTCCTAAGCCACTCCAGAGGCCCCCCTTCTCCCAGCACCTTCCCTTCCACAAGTCCCTTATCCTGCCTTCCTAATACAGGCGCCAGGTCCATCCCTTTGGCAGCCTGTGTTGGCTCCCCAGCCATCACCTTGGTGGGTGGGTGGATGATCAAGCCCACCACCCTGTGCTCCAGAGTCTGATGCCTATCCCCAAGTTCACTGGAGATCCCACTTCACCTACCTGCCTTCAAGCCACCCCCTCCGCCCACCCTGGGAGTGACCAGACACAGGATAAGGGACCCTCTGAAGGTAGGGTCAGGGGTAGGCTCTGGAGTGGACTAGGGTATAGGACAGTTCCCTGGGGAGCACAGCATGGTGGGATCAAATCCTGCCTAACCTGGAAGCAACTGGACAGCTGGCCCAGGGATGGAGTAGCAGAGCCAAGGCAGCCCCACCCCACCCCCAAAGCATCTGGCATGTACAGCAATGGCTCCTTGTGCTGCCCCTCATCCACAGGTACTGACCCCACTGGCCATGGTTCTCCATCATTGATCAATGGGAGCAGCAGGAGTGGTGTCTGCTGGAAAGGACAGCATGTGGCAAACCCTTGCTCTGACCCTCTCAGCAGGCTCCAGAGATATGGCAGCCACCTCCAGGAGCACAACCAACCATAGGGATAATTGTTCCAGACATGACCAGTTAGGCATTTTAGTACTCAAAGAATTAAATTTAATGAAAGTTATGAAATTCACAGTCCAGTCAAAAACTAAAAATAACCCACTTTGCAAGCAGTAACAGCAGCAGCAGCAACCCCCCATGTACATGTTGGGGTCAGGAGATGAGAGGGAAGGACAGTGTGTGTTTGTGAGAGTGACAGAGACACATGGTGGCTGTGTCTACACAGGCGCAATCTTGCACAAAAGCAGCCGTTCTTGCGCAAAAACTTGCTGCCTGTCTATACTGTCTGCGTGTTCTTGCGCAAGTAAACAGAAATACCTTGATCAGCCACCGACATCATGTCTAAAATCCCGTAAGCCTCCCAGCAGTGAGGGAAGGAAGCCCAACACGAAAATTCACTAGCTCATTGAAGAATATCTGCAATCTAACCACCGACGCTGTTCACTGGCTGGAGAGCTTGGACGTCCAACTTAGATGAAGAAATATAGCATTGAACATGACATGCGAGAGAGGAATGAATTAAGTCTCAAAATGGTTTGTGAGTGATTTATTATTTCATGTTATATGTGGAGAAACTGAAGCACAAACAACTGAAGTAATTTGTCCAAGTTGTGCAGGTTGTCTATGGCCAAACTTTAATCTGTGCCTCCTGTCTCCAGTTCCGTTAGTGGGTTTTGGTTCCATTTGTCCAGAGGAACAGGCTTTGGTATTGTTAGGTTTGCTTCACAACATCACCATTCTTTTGCTCGGCGATGGCTCTTGTGTATATTGTGCCAATGCCCAACTCATCCCACTGCAGGATAAGGCCGTGATTAAAACTAGTGGGGAATTTCACAACAAAACCCTTTTTATGTGAAAATGCTGATTTGTGGAAACTGCCAAGTTTTGGGGTCAGTGGTCTGGGAGAGGAGAGCCAACAGCCCAGTGGTTATGGCATGCTCTTGGAATGTATCAGCCTGAGCAGGGTCCTATCAAAAACTCACTGAGCCAGAGAGAGAATCAGGCAAGCTGGAGACTTGAACCTGGGTCTTCCATATGAGTGCCCCCTCCAGGCTAACAAATATATTTTTTTCTGCCCTAATGTCCATTTACTTTTATCCAAAGTGTAATGGTTCCAAAGAGATTGAGAGAGGCTGATTGGTTCTATAGCCGTAGGCCAGTGGTTATGGCATGCACCTGGTCTGGGGTAGACCCTAGGGATATAATAGTTTAGTTGATTAATCAATTAATTGTTAAGCAAAAGCTTATAGGTTAATGCTATAGACTACATGCATTCCCCTTGCCAGCAGCCTGCATCAGTTCCAGCTTGTGCTGGGTCTGGGACTTACCCCTGCTGTGGCTCTGCATTTAAAGTGTATTAGGAGCTGGACACGCAGCCAGCCCAGCTCAGTCCTGGCTCGCACTGAATCTGGGAGCTCAGACTCCAGCCCTGGACAGGGACTGCTGCCACCCCATGCTGCTGCCTCTGTATCAGAGGCAGCAACATGGTGTGGCAGGCAGCTAGGTCCATGAGGGGAACTAGTTTTTAAACTGACTCCCCTCGCAGACCAGCTCCCGCGTAGCACCCTGCTCTACTGCCTCTGAGAGAGATGCAGCAGCGCAGGGTAATGGGGGGCTCTCCAGGAGTGGGGCCGGAGCACACTGGCTGCCAGCCCCACCTCTTGGGACTATAGAATAGTTGACTAATCTATAAGAATTCATGAGGTTACTTGACTATTCAGTTAACCGATATTTAACACCCCAGGTTAATGTCTCTAATCTGAACCAGCCTCTACTGGGCTGTGAGTGTGTGTCTTTTTTTTTTTCATAGAAAACGTTGAAAGAGTTCTGCTTGGTTTCAATGCAGAATATTAAAGTGATTCTTGAAACCTTGCCATTTTTCAGAAATCTGAATTCTTCTTTTCCCAACTCCTTGTGATGCAGAGTTCCACTGGCTGCAAATACCCATTTAGGATACTGTAGGTTTGCTGGTCCATCCTACCTCACCACATTATATTTATGTCAAACCCCTTGTCTACATTGGAATTGTAGGGTGCAGGTATAGCAGGGCAAATATAGGTGTGGGTTACAACAATGAAACATGATTTGTACTGGTGCAGCTTATTCCAGGATTTGAAAGCATGGTATATGGCACCCATGCAGATTGCCTGTATTTTCTCAAAACATCTGTGAGAAATGGAACTTCATAAAAATCAGAACTTTGTTCTTCACTCTGGTAAGTCAGATACCACAGGATACCAGTGGTGATGGTTAAGAGCTCAGAAAGACAGTGTTATCCTGTTGTAACGTAAAATCATGCTGCACAAGTGAAAACCATGTCTATTCTCTGGGTTTGCGCCAGAGCTAAAATCATGGGGCAGATAAGGCTATATACTTTACATTGGTGTGATTCCATTAATTTATGTGATTCTTGCTTTACATAGATGTCAGTGAGATTAGGATGGTGACTTTGTCTTCACTTGTGATGGCTAGACACTAAACACTGTTCAGAGCTATGGAAAGGTGGGAAAACTTACAAATGTGTATTAATTCATGTGAGAAAATGATTCAATAGAGTCACTGTTCTGCACGTCAGTTCTACATTGTCAGTCAGGTAGGGAAGATGGCCTCATGCTCTTGCTTCTAGGATCATCCTCATGCTAGCCGGCCAGCGTACGGGATGGGTCTGAATCACAACTCCAGATAAAGCACTCTTGATCTTTGTGGAACTTTAGACTCAGATTGTATGACAATAGTTGCCCAGATGACCCACATCTGTTCTGGCGTGTCCTGGTGCGAGGTTCTGTAGTACAAAACTGGGCTACAAATCCAGTCTTTGTGTATCTTTTGCCTAATTCATCAACAACAGTGTTGTTCCTTATCTCTCTCTATATTATAGGGTGTGTCGGTCTATCTGTTTACAAATCCATTTGTTCAAGAACGCCTCCTAAGTGGTAAGAGCTTGGGTCACCACATTTGGTATGCAGCTTCCTCTTAGCCTAATACTGTGTATCACTGCAAGGTCAGGGTTTGGTTGTATCAGGAAAATGGGAAGCGCTAGAATGGAACTGTTTTTCCATAACATGGAAAGGGAGGGGGCAGAGAGGAGGGACACAAAACTCACAGTGGCCACAGGGGCAGTGAGCATAGGGGGCAGCTGCACCACAAAGAGAATGGCAAGCTGGGACTGGAGCTTGCCATCTTGCCTGCCATGCCACTGGATAAGTATTCCCCCTGGCTCAAACAATACCCCCGGGCCTTGGCTGCTGTGCCAGAGGGGAGAAGGGGGAGAAAAGGCCCCTGACAGATGGGAGGGAGGGGAAGAGAAGGGGTTGCAATGGCCCCTGCTGGATGGGGAGGGGAGTGAGTCCCCCTGGATAGGACCCCCCCGCACGATGCCCTCCTCACCCCCCACTCCTTACTCTCACCCCTGTTATCTTCAGCCCCCTGCCCTTAGTTCCTCCTCAATGCCTCCACCCTGAATCCTGTACACACACCCCACACTGCCAGCGCCCTGCCCCAAAGGTCCCAGATAACACCCCCCCGCCCCATGCCCTCCTCACCCCCCACTCCTTACTCTCACCCCTGTTATCTTCAGCCCCCAGCCCTTAGTTCCTCCTCAATGCCTCCACCCTGAATCCTGTACACACACCCCACACTGCCAGCGCCCTGCCCCAAAGGTCCCAGATAACACCAGGTATGTCTTCCAGTAGTTTGTGTATACTTGTAGATCTAATTTTTCCTTATACAGCCTTTTGGGTCATTTGTAGCCAAATCAAACAAATAGTCTTTTATATTTTATGGTCCTGTGAAAATATCCAAAAGGACAGCAGTGGAACAATAATTCTCCAATGATTTGTTTAACCACTGAAAACAATAGTTCAGAGTCATTGACCTCTGCTATTGAGATCTGGCAGTCCAGTCAATGTATAGATGTCATGTAGCTATTGCGAGAACTGCTGATAATGGATGATGATTGACAGAATTCATAGGTGTGAAAGGAAGTTTACCAGAAATTCAGTGGCCATTCATTTGGCTTGTTGATTGACAGCCCTGCCCTCCCCACCTCTGGGTTGTGGTGGTATGTTATTTGTGACCCTTCTCTAAGTTCATGATATACAGTGTTGGCTAATATATCATTAACTTGCAACACCATAGTGATGGGATTAAGACCTAGAGGGCTTTATTAATGGCAATTAAAATCTGCATGATATTGTTAAAAAACACTTGTTGATGTAAAGACAGTTAGAAATCTCTTACAGTAGATAGTTGTTGAGCTCTTTGCTTTTTGCAGTCTGCCCATCCAGCTGTATATTATCATTAGTTTTTTGCAAATACAGCTTTCAATTTATCAACAAAAGAGCAGGTAAGACAGTATGCAAATACAAATGAAGGACATTTCCAGGTTGGATTTTTTTCCCCCACTGATTGCCAAGAAAGAGTCAAAGGATTTAAAAATGGAACAAAATTATCTGTTAGTGATTTTTAAAAGCCCAATTATCTACAATAATTTTTGAAGCCAGTTTTAAATTACTTACCATCTTTCCTCCCCGGTAATTAGTACACCAGGTATTAAGATTTTCCTCTCTGCTCTTTAGGAGAAAGGCATTCCCTCTGGGAAGCTAGTTTCTCTTGCTGAAGTGTTTTGAACTAATGGGATGTTTTCATACCTCTTGTCCCTCTGCACAGCCTTGGCAATTTTTGTCAATAAAGACAGTGTAATAGCACTCAGTGAGAGCTGTAAAACTGAAACCAGTCCTATTACTGACTGCTTCTGTTAAGATCTCAGTCTGCACTGTCCAGAAATCTACAAACCAAACAATGAGTCATGTGTGAAATCCCCTTTCCTTCAACAGTTCTAACACTCAGGGAGTGTACAATACAGTACTGTTTATCCTAGCTCCATTTAACCACAACTTTTTATCAGCATCTCAGTTATACTCACTAGGGATGAATCACTTATTCACTAACTCCCTCTCTGGGACAAGGATCTCAGTTTTTCACATGGAAATTCCAGTTTCCCTATAAAAAAAATAAACAGATTCAATCTTTTTTTTTTAAATAAACAAAGACATTGCCTTAACCTATTGCCTAAAACTCTGCTTAAAGTTTCACAGGCTCTTTTCTGATTTTTTTTTTAAAAAACATATCAGTTCACCTATTGGAGTGTTGTACAGAAGGCTTTCTGTCAATTAATGGTCCACTAATATAATCACAGACCCTTAGAATGTTTCTTGACTCATTGACACCCTCCAATAGCTCTCAATCAGTTGAAGATTCTGAAAGCTCTGTCATGTTGAAGGTACTATAATGGGCACAGTCATGGTGATGTTCTTTTACTACGTAAAATGATGTTCTTTTACTACATAGGTTCAGTGACCATATTTTATAAACCAAAAATGGGGTTTACATTAGCCACACCCTGATCCCCTGTTAGCTACACCTCTAACCCCAGAAGTCCCACCCCTGGGGGTAGTACTTCTGGGATCAAGATGGACACATGACAGGAAGTAAAATGTGTTGTGACCCCTCTAAGAATTCCTTCCATCATCCTCTACCATCAGGGATGGGTTTGTGCCCCATAGGAGCCCCCTCATGCAACTACACTGCAATTGCATTAACCCTGGCCCCAGACCTTGGGTCCCATGACACTGCAGCACTAGGGGTCCAACCTTCATTCAAGATGATATCCAGGATCGAAGACCTATTACTTTGCAGTATAGATGCAGCCCCATTTGACTCAGAGCCTGGGAATCATCCGGAACTGTCCCACAATTTCATGAGACAACTTCCATAGTCCTATTAATGGATGATGCTCATTGGTTCCAATTACCTGGTAATCAGAGGGGGCTGGAGCAGCTCCCCACCTGCTGTGGGCAGAGGACTGCTCCAGCCTCGCAGAAGGCCTGCTGCAGACAAGGGTTGCTTATGTCTGGAGCAGCCCCTGTTTGTGGGGAACCTGGGGTGTCAGCTGGCAGGGACTGTGCTAGTGTCCAGAGCAGCCTCTCTCCGTGAGGAGTCCAGCTTGCTGTGCATGGGGCTGCTCTGGAGTGGACTGGGAGCCGGCGGCAGCCCCAGTGTGACCTAACATTAACCAGTTGTCACTAACCCTCCTCACCACTGCTGGAAAGGTACATTTCCCATGGAGGTCAATGGGGATGGGCTATTTTATATGTAATACTACTGAGAAATGTATGTGTCAATACCATGGTGGCAATGCTGATATTATGTGAACATGCTACTAATAATTGCCAAATGAGACCACTTCCCAACCTGCTTACAAAGGCCCAATCCTAACTTAATCATTGACATTACCCTAGAAGATCTAGTTAACATTTAGTCACCCTTCAAATATATAAGGGACTGAGTGCGCCCTCCCCTGCAGCACCTCTGCCGGGCTCCATGTGGCCCCTACTGGGGCTGAAGTGGCTACTCCAAGGTGCTGAGGTCTGGGGGGGTATTTTTGCTGCATCACACTAGGGTGCATTCCTGTGTGGCTATCTCGGTTGAAGGAAGGGAAATGGCAGTGCATGGAGCCATTTCTAGCTTGCTGCTTCCCTGCAAGCCAGATCTGGCTGGGCTTTCCAGGACATCTAACTACTTGATGGGGAAATGGGGACAGAGTATTTAAATTCAGGAGTGTTCTGGAAAATCCAGGATGTGTGGGCAGCGTATACCTAGGTCTGCAAGTTAATCTGCCACAGTCCTTAACCGTTTTCAGTGACTATGAAGAGGCAGATTCTTTCTTGTGACAGATCTCTGTTCTGTGCTGGAGAGAGGGATGGGTGCACCTGGATTTGGAGGGTCATTCTTGGTTCCCAGTAACACATAGACAGGCATCTCAAAATGACATGACTTGGGACAGTAGAGTAGAAATCTGCTGTGCTTCCTTCTACAGGGACACGTTCTCTTCCCCTTCAACATGTGCCCTGTGCCACAGAGACAGGCTCCAGCAGCAGTACAGGTGCATGAGCATGTGGCTTTCCTACTCCAGGAGAATTCTCTGCAGGCTAGTAGCATCTAGCTTAAAGCCCCCCTTTAGTCATGAGTGGAACAAAGGGACTGTGCACAGGCTAGAGTCATGGCTCCCACACCTGGCCAGTCTACTGTACCCCTTTCGGGAGTCTGATTTTTCTTGTGTTTCACCTCACTTACAAACTACCTGCTTACAAAATCGGACAAACGTACAAAAGTGTCAGAGCACACAATTACTGAACAGTTACTGACTCTATTTTTTACCATATAATTATAAAAATAAATAAATTTGCATATAAATAATGTACATATATTTCAGTGTGTAGTACATTGAGCAGTATAAACAAGTCATTGCCTATGGAATTTTAGTTTGTACAGACATTTCTAATGCTTTTTACGTAGCCTGTGGTAAAATGAGGCAAATATCTAGTATCATTATCTATAGGGGCTGATGTGCTCCTGAAGGACCTGCTGGGGTACCCATACTCCTGGTTGAAAACAACTGTGCTAGAGAATCAGACCTAGTACCTGTTTTGTTTTGAAGACATTTTGTGGCTGTTTTGTCAGTTCCTGATCATCCAAGTCAGAATGATTCTTCTTGGTTCCTATGCAATTTCTCTGAGAGCTCCACACCAGTGCCACCCTTGTGGGCCCTGTCATCATTCCCAGACTTACAACTTTTTCAGTGAAGCCACCACATGGGTACAAGAGTCCCTCGGCACTTGGGAAATTACTGAACTATCGTGTTTATTTGCCTTTTTGGGTATGGCTGCACTGCAATCATAGGGTGTGTCTACACAGTAGCATGTGATGTCTACACAGTAATTCCATTATTTCAAAATAATTTCAAAAAAATAGACAGCTTATTCCAACTTCTGTAAACCTCATTCTATGAAGAGTAATGCCGATTCTGAAATAGCTATTGTGTAGACGCTCCACTGCTGCTATTTCACAACAGCCCCTCAGCAGGCCCATTTTAAGTTATTTCTCCTGGGCTCTAAATTGAGATAGCACGTCTACATTAGGGAAGCCTGCCTCGGACTCATTTTGAGGCTTCCCTGCAGTGTAGACATGCTATTTCAAAATAAGCTATTTCTGAATAACTATTCCAGAATAGCTTATTCCGAAATAACTGTGCAGTGTAGATGTAGCCATAGGGTCTCATGCAGTATTGATGTACCTTTAATCTGTGCACTCTGAGGCAAAGACTGTCTCCCTTCTTCTGTTTTGTACAGATCCAAGTTCAGTGTCAGTACTAAGTAATAACAGATAATAATGACTTACAATGCAAATTTCAATCATCATTTGTGATGTGATTAAAATATGACCAAATAGATTGCTGTTATACAATTGCAGCAAATCTTAGACAAAGGTTGTTGAGTGAGGTGTCTATGGAAATGTTATGATTTGCTGGCTATGATTATGCTATTTGTATGCATGTATAATCTCTTGTCTGAATTTATAGATATTAGCTATATACTTGTATTTCAATTAGTTTAATTCTGAGTGGGTACCAATGAAGCATTTGGCTAGCATATTGTAAAGGGACTATTCAAGTTGAATGGCCCATCAAGGAGTACTTGGCTCACAGTGGAACTTGGGAGATGCCAGTCCACATCTGGTGAGCCTTCCTGGGAACGTTCATATTAGCATTTGAGCAATGGCTTCTACATGTAAAGAACTGAGTCACGCCTGGTCAGGTAATTTGCCCATGTGATGGCTCTTGTGTGGGCTATGATTTTCCACAAGGAGAACAAAGGATCTATCTGCCCTGGGCAGAAGCTATAAAAAGCCCCGGAAACATCTCTGTTTTGCATCTTTGCTGCTCCATCCTCTGGACCAGGGCTCGGGAACCTTTTCAAACCAAAGAGCCAAGTCACATCCAAATTCAGAACATGTGGTCAACAAAGAGCCCTATAAGAATACCCATTTGCATGACTGAAAATAGACAACTCAATATTATTGATCACTGACATGATGATTAATAATAGCAGAAATGAAACATTGTACTCACAGACTTTATTCAATGGGACTTCTGCAGCTGCATCTTTTTGCACATTTCTTTGAAGCTTACATCATAACTGGTCAAATCCAACTTCATGCACACTGTCTTCTGTCAATCTTATGGCAGGGGATGTGGAGTGCCGGAGTCTGGATTGGGGTGTATGATTGACTCGAGGCTAGCACCTCTGACTGGGCGGGGCTGATTAATCACCTGTGAAGCTGAGCTGCCTCACAGTTTAGAGGGAACATTGCTCAGGGTTGGAGGGTACAGGAGTGTTTTATGGCAGGGGACTGGGGATGTAGGGTGCAGGACTCTGAGTGTGGGTGTATGAAGGGCTGGGGTGTGTATGTGTGGGGGGGGGCAGTGTAGGAGTGTTATGATGCTGTGACCAGATAGGGGCTGGACCCCAGTTGGGGACTTGTTAGCCAGGCTTCATTTTTAAATAAAGTAAAATATTATGTCCAACACAAAAAGTTTCAGCACTGTCTTTATTTATGGCAGGTGTGGGGAACCTTTTTTGGGTCAAAGCCCACTGACGCACAGAAAAATCACACAAGTGAGAAACAAACAAAAAAAAAAAACCCTAAAAAAAACACACCCAGGTCTAACTGAGGTGGCTCTAAGACACTTCACTCTCCTCGCACTGTCGGGGGGGAGGGCGAGGGGGGAGAGGAGAGGGAGGACTGAAGTTCAAGGCCTTAGGCCAGATTAACTCTTCTGGGGTTCCAGGGTTAGTGGATTTTGTGTGGCCCCTTAGGCTCTGGGGTGGGGCCAAAAATGAGGGGTCCAGTGAGTGAGATAGGGATGGGGGTGCAGGATCTGGGGGGGAGGTAGGCTGCAGGAGCAGGCTGGGGGTAGGTATTTGTCTGGGAGGAGGGTGCAGGAGTGGGCTTGAGGGTAGGTGTCTAGCCAGGGAATAAGGTGCAGGAGCAGGGTGGGGGCATGGGGTTTGGGTGGGGGAGCATGAGGATGTGTGGGTGCAAGGGTCTGGACATGAGGGAGTGGGGGACACTTAGTTGCCTTTGTGCCCCACACTGGTCCC